AATTAATATTTAAGTGATTTTGCTAATTATTAACAGACATAGATACCCGCAAGTACAGGTACCATCAAATATTATATGTTCCCGTAAGGAAACAAATAACTAAATATCCAGTTATTTTACTCGTGGATACCCATTAAGCTATCTGATTCGTGCTCGTGACAGGTTTATTCGCAAATATCTATGGGTACAAATTTTTTCATCCCTAGTCATATGTAGTCATTCGTGTTGGGTACATCATGAATAAGTTTCCTAGTCTTATTCTCAAGGAAAAATCACTATATTTTATCATGCGTAAACAAAACCCAAACATGAATGATCTTAAATTGGCTCTTTGGTTTTTGCAGCCACATTACAAGCACATAAAACTAAACTTTCCCCTAGAGTAAGGAAGTGAATTTTTCTTAGTTACAAAACTGGCATGAAAGGAACTTTCCTTTTAGATATCAACAACATATAAATTTTTGTATCAAGAAACTTCATTCACCATGAACATATATTTCCTTATCGACCAAAATTCTCATCTTTAACTTGGAACTAGAGGTGACAATTGAATCCATTAAGGCAAAATTCATTCAATCCATCCATCAAAAAATTCATCTAATCCATCCACCACACAAAAAATAAGTTAATGGATTGGATTAAATCCATCCATTTATATGCATGGATGGATTCAATCCATCCAACATATTTTAAGGATCCAATAGATTATTTTTATTTTCGTTAGATTTATTTTTTTTTAAATAGATTTTTTTAAAAATAATTAAAAAACTATATTTTTTTTCAAAAAAAAATGAATTTTTTTTCTGAAAAAAAAAACTTTAATTTTTTTTGAAAAAAAATCTGTTTCTTTTTCCGAAAAAATCAGTTTTTTTTTTCAGAATAAAAAACTGATCTGTTTTTCGAAAAAAAAATCGACTTTTTATTTTAGAAAAAAAATCGGTTTTTTTTTTCAGAATAAAAAATGATTTGTTTTTCGAAAAAAAAAATTGGTTTTTTTTTCAGAATAAAAAACTGATTTGTTTTTCGAAAAAAAAACTGACTTTTTTTTTTTGGAAAAAAAATTGATTTTTTTTTCAGAATAAAAAACTGATTTATTTTTCGAAAAAATAAATAAATTTTTTTCTCGGAAAAAAAACCGACTTTTGTTTTTGGAAAAAAAATCAATATTTTTCAAAAATTAAAATATCAATTTTTTTTTTGAAAATACAAAAAATTCAGTTTTTTTAATAAATATATTAAAAAATGATTTTTTTTTTAAATACAAAAAATAAATTTTTCAAAAATAAAATTAAATCAATTTTTTAAAAATAACAAAATATATTTATTTTTAGGAAATAAAAAAAAAAAGTTGGATGGATGGATTGGATGGATTTTATTCTTAATGGATGGATTGGATTGGATAATTTTAAGAAAATTTTAGTGGATTGTTAATGGACTAATGGATTGTTTTAATTCATCCATTAACAATCCAATCCATATCCATCCAATCCATCCATTTTGCCACCCCTACTTGGAACTATCACACCAACCCAAATCCAATTAATACCCGTATAATGCCTACATACATTAATCAAAATCAAACCATTGAACCTAATATGTCACAAAAGGATGAAAATCATAACATTGTTGATCTTGAAACTACAAGCATCATTCATTTACCTAATGATCAAGAAAATAGACCTACAAACATCTGAAAAATTCACCTGAAACATCCACTAGACCTATTAGACAAAACATGATTCATCTTATTTGTTTGACTATGTAAGAAATTCTTCCTCCAGTCACTCAAAATCATCAACTTCATATACACTTTAACATATTGAATCTTTCCATTCTTTTGATCATCAATCTTGTTCACAAAAGGTTTTTGTCATGTTTGTTACAAATAGTATTGAGCCTAGAACCTACAAGGAAGCATGTCAGTATGACTATTGGTTGAAAGCTATAAAAATTAAACTAGATTCATTAGCTAAGAATGAAACATGGAAGTTGGTTGACAAACCACCACATGTGAAACCTATTCGTAGTAAGTGGGTGTACAAGGTCAAACACATGGATGATGGTTCAATCAATGTTTTAAAAACTGGACCGAACCGGATGGTTCAACTGGTTGGACCGGGAATCGGAGATGAATTCGGTTGGATCAACTTTTCAAAATCGCTAGTGGGTCAAAACCGAAGTTAAATCGAAAAAACCGGATTGAACCGTCCAAAACCATTTGAACCAAAGAACTGGAGCCGGTTTTGTAAAACTGCCCGGTTCAAAAAAATTCATCTAATTGACCATTTTTAAATTTTTTTTTTTAAATTTAATATGTTAATATCAAAACATAACATACATTTCTCAATCACAAAAATATTTTTCGTGTGTTTTTTACAACCATACAAACTTCTATATTTTATCACTTTATTATAGTTTTTCTTTCAACCACATTTCATCATCATTATGTCGTCTCTTTCAAACATAGTTACAATGTCCAACTTGATTGTCGTTCAAGTCAATATTGTTTGTTGTTGTCAATTAAGATTTATTTGTCGTAGTTTAATTCAAATTCGATTTTTTGTTGTTTAATTAAGTATATTGTAATATTTATATTTTGGTATTCTATCTTATTTAATTTAGGTATTCTTAATTATTTGAACTTTATTTTAGTTATTATATTCTATTATTTTAATTTTGGTTTGAATTAGTTTAATTTATTTTATTTTAATTCTTAAGTTTGGTCAAAATATTCTTAAATGATGGTTGAAATGAAATGTAAAACTATGTTATGTTATGTATTATTGATATTGATGTATTAAATTTGTAATTGATTTTTGAAATATTTATTTTATTAAGTTGAGAATATATAATAATGTGTGACATATCTATGAAATTTAGTTTCATAAATTATTTTATTTAATAAACGGTTCGACTATATGTTTAGCTGGTTTTACCAATTGAACTTTAAATCATAAATTTTACCAGTTTAATCTTCTATCTAAATTTTAAAACATTAAATTTAATTGAATGATCTAAAACAAAAATAGTAGTCAATGATTACAATCAAATATAAGATTTTGATTTTTTGATACCTTATCACCGGTACCTAAACTGGCTACAATTAGACTTCTCTTTGCCCCGAAGAATTGGCACATATGTTAATAATGCATTCTAGCATAGAGATTTATAAAAGGCTGCGTATATATTCACACTAGATGAAGTCACAATCAAGTCTAATCAAGTTTGTAAGCTACAAAAGAATACCACCAATGAATTTCTAATTACTCTTTATTCACCCTCAAGCAAGGAGAAAATTAATTGTTCTCTTATTGTATTATGATGACATTATATTAGCTGAAATTTCTCTTGATGAATTCACAAGGATAAAATGTATTTTGGACAATAACTTCAAAATTAAGGATCTTGTCATTCTTAAATATTTTTTTATGATTAGAAGTTTCACACTCCATGAAGGAATCTGCATTTCTAAAAATAAAATTGTTTGGTTCTTCTCGAATCAACTAGGCTCTTAGGATCAAAACCAATTTGCAGTCCTCACGATCTTTCTACAAAACTTCATCACAACTAGAGTTAAACTTTTGAAGATGTCTGTATCTAGAAGACTCATTGAAAAATCATTGTACCTTAATACTACTAGACTTGACATTACTCTCTCACTAGACAAGAATTGAGCCAATTTTTGATTTCACCAATTTTTTGATATCACCAATTTTTTTTTCCACTGCAAAGCTGCTAGTAAAGTCATTTGATACTTAAAACAAAATTCAAAGCTGCTTGTAGAGTCATTTGGTACTTAAAACAAAATCATGGAAGAGGACTTATTTTTCTTAGTAAATTTGAGGAACAAATTATAGGATATGTAAATGCTGATTGGACAGGTTGTATTAATTCAAGAAGATGTATTAATTCAAGAAGATCAACCACTGGATTTCTTTTCTTTCTAGACACTTCCCTCATATCTTGGAGAGCAATAAAAACAGCACACCATCTCAAAGTCTTCTTCAGAGACAGAATATCATGCTCTATCCCCTACAACGTGTGAACTACAATGGCTATTATATATTCAGAAGGATTTAAATATCAATTGCAACAAACAACCTATGCTATATAGTGATTCACAAAGCGCAATTCACACTACATCGAATCCAATATCCCACAAAAGAACTAAATATTTGGAGATAGATTGTGTGAGAGAAAAGGTCAAAAAAAATGTACTTAACCTACTACTTATATCCAAGACAAGAACAGCTAGCTGATTTTATAAGAAAGGCATTGGCACCACTGAACTTCAAGTCCTTTATATCCAAGCTTGGAATGACAAGCATTTTTCAAGGTCAAATTTGTGCGAGGATAAAAACGCAGAAGTTGAGTAAATGGAGCATATTGAAAGAAAGCATGGTGATCATCAATTGCGTGTATCACAAGCTATCGGGCTTAAGCAAAATTCTGTTATAACTGATTTTTGAATTCAGTTAGGATAGTTAGTTAGGATCATATACATGCAGTCCTATCCTTGTTATTGTATACTAGATTAATGTTAGTATAAACACTATAACTCTCTTTGTAATAAGGTAGATTGTGCAATAATAAGCTTGGCATTCTCTCTATTCTTTACTTTCTCAATATGTTGTATACTCTATTAAAAAATGAGAGAGGAAGAAGTGGAAATATGGAATCAACTTGTAAGGAAACTAAAATAATTTAAAAGAAAGGCATATCATAAATTCACTAGATACATTTTGTAGCATATACATATAACTTAAAAGAAAAATCAAAGGATAATGAAACCAAATATCAAGTTTTTCTCATCACCACTCTCTCCATCAGCAAACACAACAGCAATCATGTTCTTCCAAGGAGATCGGCTCGCGAGACGACATCTGTACAAAACTTACACTAACCAACCACCACTCACTCCTCCATCTATCCTTGCAAAAACAAGTTTCACAACACAAAAACCTATTGAACACCAAGGTTAAGTTATGTAGTTCTCAATTCTACCTTTGAGGTGTCTCAAAGGTGCATTCTTCTGAACCTTTCATCTTATCAGTATAAGAAGGACCAGAGTTATCCTTTATAGATTCAATATCCATGCTGACGCCGCGACTCTTTCTATTTCTTCGATCCTGAAAGTGTTAACAATTTCATGACTACTGCATTTAAAAGATTTTGAGTCCTATGGTAGAAGGCTAATAATATATGAGAAGATAAGATAATGAAAGGAACCTCTCTGAACGGATATTCTTCGGCTTCAATCATCCTCACAACCTGACTCATTTTAGGTCTCTTCTCAGCCTCAGGATCAACGCACCTAAATGCAACAAGAAGAGCACGCTTTAAAGCACGTGTCGGCGGTTTCACTTCAATGCTCGAGTCCACAACTTCCTCGGCTCTCCTTGTCCCCACCATCATCTTGAGCCACTCAACAAGATTCACCTGTCATAGGAATAATCAAAATTTGATCAACTATATATAAAAGGCAATAGTATCATATCATCATCGCTTCCGATGGAATACAAAGACACGTATTTGAAACCTCGTTGGTAGGACGTGTATAGTCTACAGGGTCTCTTCCGGTAATTGCTTCGAGTAGGAGAACACCAAAGCTGTAAATGTCGCTTTTCTCATTTAACAAGCCGGAGTTCGCATATTCTGGTGCAACATAACTGAAATGGAGAACCAAAGTAAGCTTACCGTATTCGAAATCGTTTAAATAAATTTGAAAAATAAAAAAAAATTTAGCATACCCAAATGTTCCCATTACTCTGGTCGTTATGTGACTTTCTCCTGAATCTAAAAGTTTGGCTAAACCAAAATCAGAAACCTTTCCATTGAACTCGCTATCGATCAAAATGTTGCTAGACTTTATATCCCGGTGAACAACTTTTGGTTCTATTGCTTCGTGTAAGTAAGCAAGCCTGCCACAAATCACAGTTAAACGGGAATTTTAATTCGCCGGAAAAGGTCCATTTTGAAGCTAACATAGCAAGTATAAGACACCAGAAATGATTAACAAGGTTCACATCTCTAATTTTTTACGTTGAACTTACGCTTTGGCAGTGCCGAGAATAACTTTCATGCGAGCTTCCCATGTGAGTACCCCATGTTGGCTCATTGCCCCGTGTAACCATTGTTCTAAGTTACCATTGTTTACATACTCATACACAAGCAACCTGTAAATCAGACAGAAACTAAACTGATAATGAAAGAACGAAGCACATTTCAATTTATTTTTTTGTCGGTAGACGAAATGGTAATAACCACTTGAAACTCTCACACACAACCGCGATAACCAGGGTTGAAACACTGATGATAGGGTCCAACCTAGCAATATCGGCTTCTACCAGTTGAACTAGTATTTGCGGACACATTTCAAATTTTACCTAAAAGAAAAGATAGTCGCAAACCCAAAGTACGAAATGTCATCGAGTAGCAATTTGGAAACATTATAGAACACCAATTTTACCTGTGTACTCCTTCTATGCAAAATCCAAGTAAGCGCACAAGGTTTTTATGTCTGACATGGCCTATAGCATCGACTTCAACTCTGAATTCTTTCTCTGCTTGTCCCCTATAAAGAAATAAACGACATTGTTTAAGAAAGAATCTCAAGTGCCACAAGAAAAAAACTAATAACGGTATCAACAATACCCGAAGTCGCACTTACAAGTTGTTAAAAAGTCTCTTCACTGCCACCTCAGACCCATTGATCAATCTTCCCTTGTAAACAACTCCGTATCCGCCCTCACCAATCACATTCTCCGCGGCAAAACGGTTAGTCGAAAGCTCGAGATCTCTTAGCGTGAACCAATGGCCCCACCCAAGATGAGAAACCTCAGGCAAGCCAGCCAGAGGAGACGCAGTTACCATATACTGCTTCTTAACAGTTCCAAAGTTTCCATCTTCTATCGACATCAAACTCAACCCTCTATCGTGATGATAAACCGAGCTACACCGACTAACATTATCAGGCTCGCTCGATTTGCTTAAATGAACAAACAACTTATCTGAATCTGAATTCTTATTGTTTGTCGCATTATCGCGAACATGAACAGACAGACTCTCAACCTGATCATGAGACGGATTCACTCCAACCTTGTCAACTTTGATATCCTTTGAGTCGTGAGGTATTTGCGATAACAAGTACTTGTCTACGTCTACAGATCTCCTTGTTTTTCTTCGAAACAGTATCCATGAAGATAATATACAGAGAATTAGAACTATAAATGCACCAACACCAATTCCGATCAAAACCCATAGCCTTAAACCCCAAACCGAAGTTTTCTTCGACAATTCGACTTTCAAAGAAAAGTTGGAAGACATAATCGGATACTACAAATCAATCCTTATCCTCCAAACTCTTCTGAAAGTATAATCAACACATTTCAATCTGAGTACAAGAAAACAAAAAAACAATATGAACTCAATCATCATGAACAATAAAAAAACAAAATGAATAATTCAACTAAATAGTAACCATTATTATAAACCAAAAAGTAATGTGTTGTTTCAAACATTCAACAAATCAAATCAAAACATTTGCGTCTATATGACTTCAATCAGAAAAGTAAACTAGTATAACATCACGTATGAACCAAGCTAAACAAAATGTAATAAATTATTCAAAAAGTGATACATAAAGACAAAGCAGTCACCTTTGTATTGATCTAAGTTACCCTCTTTGATCTTCTTCCTTCATCACCTATAAAAAAAAAAGGTCTTGTTGCTGAGCAACAAAAAAAACACAAACCTTATTAATCCAGAAACTACAAAAAAAATGAAGTTTTTTTTAGAGTTTTAACTAGAAAGGGTTATGAGGGGAAATAGGTCAATGAGAAATAAGGATAAAATGAAAAAGAAGAGAAAAAAAATGTTATTTTTAATGAAAAATGGAAAAATACAGAGAGAGAAAATGGGTGGATTATGGGGAAGAAGAAAAAAGTGGAGAAAAGGGAAAAGGGTTTGGTGGATAGTGGAAGTGTGGTTGAGGAAGATGATTGTGGGACCTTAAACAAAGGTGGAAAGGAAGCTTGGTTTGTAATGGAGGAAACACAGAAGGAGAGAGAAACAGTGAAGATAAAGCAAGAATAAAAGAAAATGGGTGTGTGCATTTATAGCTGTTAGCAAAAAGTGTAATAAATGAGTTGAAACAAAAAGTAATAATGTGTAGAGAGAGAAAGAGAGATGATAGAGAGAGAGACTAGACAGTCAACCTCAATCCAACAAGGATGAGGCCCAAAGTCCAAACCAAATCTAGCTTAGCATGAGTCTTACAATCATCTAATTGTAGTAATTCCCTACTTGTTTCGTTTGCAATTCTTTTTTAATTTATTTTAAAATATTAAGCTGGTTATTTAAGTTTTTTTTTTTTTTTTACGCTTTGCTCATTTATGCGAAGTAATGTTTGTGTTCTTGATTTTTTAAAATATTCTCGTTATAATAAATTGTAAATTTATATATTATTTGAAATGATTTTTCGCGCTGATCACAAATATACAATCAAATTTATTAAACAAGTTATGGTTCATTAGAGTCAGGAGAAAAAATAGACAAATACATAATAAAAAATCGTTTGATCCGATCAAAATACACAATCAAACGCAAATGTTATTACATGTCTGTGATCAGCGCGAAAAACCAGTTCAAATGATTTATGAGTTTGCAATTTATTATAACAGAAATTTTTAAAAAAATTAACGACACAAATGTTACTTAACATAAAGGACCGAAGCGTTATAAAAAAAACTTAAAAGACTAATTTAATATTTTAAAATAACTTAAAGGAATAAAATAATATTTTTGCTTTTTTTTAATCTTAATCATTATTTCTCTTATCCAATATTTATTGAAATAAAATAACGGAGTTAATTAGAGATTTTTGGTTCAAATCTAATTTTAGATACATAATTGTGTTAAATTTTTTTAAAAAAAATTTATGTAGTTCAAAAGATTAATCTCTATAATTATGCGCAAATAATATATTTATATAAAAAAAGTACTATTATTTCTTTACAATAACAACGAATTTTATTACTATATAATTATTTATTAATTTTTACTTTATTCAACTATTTTTATTAACTATAATTAATAAAAATATTTTAAATATAATATTATAATCATCATTAAAACCAATACATATAATTTTATTTTAAAACGGCATCGGGTTCAAAAACGAAAGATATTTTTTTATGATTTATGAGAAGTTGGAATAATAATTAAGTAATGTTTAGAATAGTTAAAAGTCAGAATAATGCACTCAATCTGTTAGTACGTCTATCGTATTTTTGTGTGGAATTGATCAATATTTTAAATATATACTCTTTAATGAATTCGTCGGTCCCTTTCCATTTTATTGTAAATTTTTTAGAGTATGAACATTAATATAATTTTATATATTTCTTAAGTTAAAAATGTAGTGTTATCGAATCCACTCCACAATATTTTTTTGAACAAACTGAAATATTAGATTTGTACTCTAAATAATACTTGCTCCACTTCGTCTCATTCTATTTTTTGCAACTAATTTAAATGGGGTGGGCATTGTCACCCTTCTAAGACTAATTTTATTAATATTTAGTCTTTTTTAATTATTTTTTATAATTATTTTTTATTTCATTTATTTAAATTAAAAGTTTATATTGAATAAATAAGTGCATAAGTTTTTATAAAATAAAATCACAATTATAATTATATAATTTAGTTATCTACAATTTGTCGTACTTTCTAAAAAGTATATTATATGTCCAATTAAAGCCTATGAAGTATCAAATAATTTTGAAATTTTATAGAAAAAATAAAATTGATATATTCAATGAGAACTACCAAATTAAATGTTGGAATGGTAAAATATAGTATTTATAATAAATTATTAAACAGAATAGTTCAAGAATAATTTAGTATATAAATACTTTTAGAGTAAGTTGGTCAATTTCTCTTAAAGTAGAATTGAATTTGTCTCCTCAATATTCAATAGAACTTTACTTGAAATTATAAAATAAGTAGTAAATTTTGAATCTTAATGTGTTTTTAAATTAAAATATTATATTCAGTAATACACTTGAAATTAATTTTTATCAACCGGCATGCTTAAATTATTTTATCACTATCAAGTAACATTATTCACTTTCTATTTGTAAAGAAAACAAATTGGTTATTAATTAATTTTATATAAAAAAATATATGAACAAAATATCTTCTACAGTTACATATGAAAAATACATGAACAAAATATCTTCTACTGTTCAAAGTACAATTTAAATAGAGATTTATGCGCAATTTTTAAAGTTCATATGAAAAGAAAAGAAAAATGGTAGATAGACTAAATACTAATTTTTCTTTAGTACATAAATGTGAAATAATACTAAATTAATCTAGAAGTCAAACAAATTTATTATCAAAATTAATGCAACTAATTTGTGAACTTTCTATTGTATTAATGTATATAAGATAATTTCCTTTGTTTGACTAAACGATCAAAAGACTTTTAATGACCAACAGACCAAAACAACTACTAATAATGTCAAGAAAGATTTTCAGTTTCATTTTGATATAGCATCATCATAAAATTTCAACAAATTTTGTTTAATGTTTATTATAAATGAAATATTGCATTGGATTCTTTCTACTTTTTGTATTTATTTTTAATTTATAGATTTTTGTCAGATTTTTAATTTATGTATGATGCTAACTTAATACTTATGTTCAAAGAATTCCATTAATAGTAAATATAAGTTTAAAAAAATCAATTTTTTATGAAAAGAATGCACAAATTTTCATTCAAACATTACACTTTTTTAATAAGTGTTGCTAATTCAGTCATTAAATAATAAATTATTATTAATTTTATCATTAAATTATAATAATCGACACTAAATAATAGAAGAGATCAAAAATATAGATAAAAATTTTTTAAAAAATAATTTTTTAAATAATATTTTGAAAAATTAAAAATATTTAGAATAACCACGAACATATTTAATCTTGAATAATTTATTGATAACATTATTTACTTACTAAAGTATCCTTTTATTATGGAAAAGTGCTTGTAATGATTTATTAATTAAACTGTGCTCAATAAAGATGCTATGTCAATCAAAATTCGAAAACGGTATAGAAAAGAAAATTTGCATGCAACATAGAGAGGTGATAAACTAATTTATTTTAGTATATAAATGTGAAATAGTACTAATTTAATCTAGAAGTCAAACGAATTTATTATCAAAATTAATGCAATTTTTTAAATAAAAATAGTTTATTTATAAGTTAACATATTATTAAAAAAAATGTTGTTTTTATAGGTCGAGCTTTGGATTAACAATTTAAGTTCATTTAGCTTAACTAACAACAATTTAACCGTTATTTAATTCAACTATTATATATTAGTTGTATAGAATTGATCCAGCTTTTTTTTAGAGATTAAAAGTCACTTTAAAAAGAAATATTTAAAATTTTCCTTTTTTTAAAAAATTTTGTAATTGTCAAGAGTTGAAATAAATAATGTAGAATAAATATATAATATATATGATTTAGGACATTGCGGATTTGAACAAAGTATTATAGTATTTGCTCCTATATTTGAGTTTTAAAAAAAATTCGTACTCGAGCTCACATTTGCATGGGCACTAATGTCTGTATTCGTACTTGTACTATGTGGGTATTTAAGTACTCAATTCATATTCATTATCCGCATTTTTAAAAAAATCAAATCGATTAATTATGAAATATCAAATATTTTAGAATTTTTTACAAGATTTAAAAAAAAATCAAAGATTTTATTATTAAATTATAAAACAAACAAATATTTATATTAAAATATGTGATACTTTATATTGGTATTTTTTTAAATATATTAATATGAAGTATTTTGGTTGGTATTTACTCGAAAAACTTTACCTCATACCCCTACTTTTAGTCTTTATAACCCTATATTTTATATTTAAAAAATATTAATTTTGCCTTCGTATATTTTTAACTAATTTATCATTTTATTTTTTAAGTATTTTTTAAATTTTATTTTACGTATTAGACGGCTTTACAAAAGAGTTTCGGTAGTCGTTTTGTAAGCATTTTAAATTATTTTTTTGTACCAAAAGACTTTGCAAAACAATTCCGGTAGTAAATTTTTGTGTATCGGAAGACTTTGTAAAAGAGTTCTGGTAGTTATTTTTAAAATATTTTTTAACTTTTATTTTGTGTACCGGAAGACTTTGCAAAACAGTTTCGGTAGTCATTTTTTAAAATTTTTTTGTGTATCGAAAGACTTTGCCATAGAGTTACGGTAGTCATTTTTTTTATACGGGAAGAGTTTGTAAAAAAGTTTC